AACTCATATTAAAGTTTTTCTTCATCACCCATTCAAGCCGTCTCTAACCATTAATTAGTCATTAATTTGTTTTTATGACGCGAAAATTGATATATGAGAACATAAAATGAAAAGTTTAACAGTATGTAAGGTTACCGGCTAAAATTATAAAGAACAAACTTGAATCGTTTTTATTGAATGATTAAGACAGTTAAGTTATTATATATTTAGTTGTTTAAATAAAACAATAATAAAGTTCAAAACAAGCTAATCATAATAACTGGTTTAATGTTCTCTTAGTTTGATAGTTTTTAATTGTTCTCTGGCGAATCATTAGAAATATTTACAGACTCTACTCATCTTATTTGTTCCGAGATTTTCATAATTTCTGCAAGTTTACAAACTAAAATTGATTTTGTCTTATTGATATTATTTGAATTTATAAAATAATTGGTATAAAATCCCACGCTCTCTCATGGTGTTGGCAGGAGCTGGGATTCGGGTCTCATCTGTGGCGCCGTCATGTGACACAAACTAAAACTATTGCATATGCCTAAGGTATGGAGATGAATTTCATTTTGAATTTGCCATAGCTTGTTTAAAACATACAATATCGGGTATCGTAGTTTATTATTTTAAATGTGTTTCATTATTTTCTGTTATTATATATTTCCTAGTTCTATGGATATATATGTACGTGTAAATTACTGTTATTCACATAAATCTGTGCATTTTTCTTGTGCCTACTCGTTCTCAAAATTAGGGTTAGCGTAGGCCTAAAACTCCACGGGCCAGTGTTCTTAAGTAAAAGTTATAGTACTACTAATAGTAGGCGATTGACGAAGATGGCATTATATTATTATTCGATATGTTTATGACGAAGAGCAAATAATATTTGTTTTTTTTTTTGTAAACATGTTGCTTATAGAAATGAAAATTTTCTTCTGTGCATTTTATATTTTTTGTTATGTAGTTTTTGTCAGTGTTCACTTTCAGATTACAACTCCGAATTGTACAAAACTACAATACAGTTTATAGGCTTATTAGTTATAACATTATATCAGATTCAAAGGTTGGTTTAATTTTGTTATGAATAATGTGGACCTTGTCTCGATGATTTAAACTTATGTTAGATATTTAAATATTAATTGTTAATATATCTTTCAACCCATTCACATAGTGTTTTTGTGGACTTTTTTGTCCGCTAGCAAGATTCGGGATGTCTGCAAGGAGAGGGGCGTTAAAACGCGCCCGAAAGGTTAGCCATTTAGCATGATTGGTTCTCGAAATAGGGTTGCTGAATTCGAATATGGGGTCGGATTTTCTGTTCCCTTCACCATATTTTATTTTGTATTCATTTCCCAAATTCTTTGCAAAATGCTATTTTTTTTCTCTTAACCTCTAGCGGTAGTTTAGGACGGGGGACCATTGTTATTTTGTATCATATACATACGAACTTATAACCTGTTTTAATGTAAAATATTATAACCTATATTAACCAAATGGCGTATTGTAAGTGAAGTAAAAAGAGGCGTGAATATAGCAAGTGCATACTTTTAAATTACATTTAATTAAATTAATTACTCGGTTTACTGACAAACTTTTGATGTACCTGTCAATTTTTAGTACGGAAAGTTTGTCTCCTCCCCTACGAGTTTATTTATAGGATCTAGTCAACAGGTAACACAAGAGTTAATAAAAAAAGACCGATGTTCTGGTATTGAAAGTCGCATTGTATCAAGATTAATAATGCAGATGGTTCCAATATAATAGAAATAATTTTTTCTAGGGAAAATTCCGCTAAATCAGCATACATTTTAAATTTGTCTAGAGCCTAAAAGGTAAATTTATTTACAAATCGTTACATATTTATTTTATCATATTGTTAACATCCTAGTGATATATTTTTAATTTTAGATAGTTTTATGACAAACACAACATCGATATGAAATGACTGTACTATACAATTCTACATATTTATAAGTTGTCAGTTAAGTACAGATGTTGACTTGTGAAAATAAACGTACCTCTTTCCCTACATATTTATAAGCCCTGTACCAATAATACCAACATGGCTTTAATAGGAACAGAAATTTGTGTTGTGCTTGTTGTAGTCACTTCCAAGAGTTCGTTGTGTGACGTCATAGCAAACATGCTACGTCACGATGTAAGGATTCATTTTAACCGACACAAAACACTCCTGCTAATAAATTCCAGCATTATTATAAATATAAGGCTTTTAACTAATTATCATTTGGAAAAAAACCATGAAGAACTAAAAGACTTGCCAGTAAGTAGTGACTGTTTATAGCTGTATAAAGCAGCCTAAACAGTAAATATATTAATTACTATATAATGTTCGAAAATCTAACAGAAACCAGTACCATAAATATGTCACGATAGTTATAATACCAAGAACGTGTACTTGTAACTTGTCAGCAGAATATAGTTTATCTGGTGATATCCTTGGATTTATTCCTTAGTGTCTTCTTTTTTTGGTGGTAAATTAGCCATAAATCATTAAGGTTTGCCAAACAAGTCACGGTGGGAGGAGAAGGCGTGCACTGCCGAGGATTGAAAGGAAGAAGTGTTACGCACTCGGATACAGAGGAAGGCAGTGATGGTGCAAGAAGTGAGAAGGATGAGAAGAGTGATCACTAGGGCAGTGATGAAACTAGGTGTAGACAAGCAAAGACCTGCGTCGTGGTTGTTAAATTTCCCTGTGGACAGCGTCGTTGTTCCGTTTCTACTCTCAGAAACAGTGATATCCTCTGGAGAAACCACCCGGATTCCACGAAGTAAGCGGATTGGCTCCACTCTGTCTTTAAGTCGTAGAATTCCGTCCTTGTCTTCCTCCACCATCTGGATATTTCCGCGAGTCTCTCGTTTATTTCGTACTGATCGAGGCTGTGGATATTCGGGACAGTAGTTTTGACACTGGAATTTGCAGAGCTCGATGTTACATTCCAGGAATACTTCCATGGTGTCTGGAAATTTAAAGGCCTGGAAAAAAGCGTATGCAATGATGCTTGCTCCACTGTTCCCTGTCTGACTTGTCATTTGCCACGGCCCCATCAGCTTCTTCTTTATTACGCAGCCTCTTGCATCTGTCAGCTGTATACCCCTACTGACGTCACCAGCATGGGCAAAACACTCTTTCACGTGTATATCAAAGTCGTTAGCGCCTTGCACGTAAACTACCGCCGTAAGGGTATCTCCGATTCTGACCAATCCTGTAACAGGGGCAGCAAATGGTCCTCGCCCAACCTGGATATCCATGTAACTATCCACCGAATCTCCGCTGTAGGTGATGGAGATGATATCCAACATGTCCACGTTAACGTTGGACGTAACGGTCCTCTCAAACTGGCCGGTCCAGAGACACCGGATATTTCGTGCAGTATCCCACACTTCTTGAAAACCGGGTTCGTTTTGGATTATTATAGTGTTCTCCAAGTATGCTTGGCCACCTTGGTTGAATTGGTCTACAAACTGGGTACCACAACGATCGAGATAAACGGTAAATTCATAAACAGATCGGCTGCTTTTCGGCGCCACATACAGGCAGGTACTGTCACTAAACAGGGAGAGAAATTATTTGCTTACAACCAAATATCGACACCCTACTTTTACTTTAAAGATAAGAAAACAAAAAAGGCAATATAGTACAACTTACTTGAATTATATTGAAGGAAATCGCGCATATTTCCAGGTAAACATTCGGATCAATGAAAGATAGAAATATATGTTGACTACACCACTGAAAATATATGTTGACTACACCACTGAAAATATATGTTGACTACACTACACATTGAAAATATATATTGACTACACCACTGAAAATATATGTTGACTAACACCACTGAAAATATATGTTGACTAACACCACTGAAAATATATGTTGACTAACACCACTGAAAATATATGTTGACTAACACCACTGAAAATATATGTTGACTAACACCACTGAAAATATATGTTGACTACACCACTGAAAATATATGTTGACTACACCACTGAAAATATATGTTGACTACACCACTGAAAATATGTATATGTTGACTACACCACTTATTTAATCAAGGAAAATGAGAGAGAACCAAACGTGACGTCTGTGTCTTTTGAATGAATAGAAATACACCAATTTTATTCACATTTCACAAGTAGTTAGCGCTAAATTCTTTACAGTTATAAAAAACACAAGTTTTTCAACGTGCCGACGTATACCGTTTATACACGCACGTGTCTAAAAAATAACAACAAAAAACTACAGAATGTTTCCAATTGTTGAGACCGTATTTTAATTATCTATATTAATTTCTCAAATTTTGTTTTGTCAAATCAGTTTTATTTTCGTGTATGAAAATATCCAAATAAACTCCTGTTGCGTGGAAAAATATACATGTGTTAACCCCCCCCAGTGACTAGAACGTAAAACCACCCGTTATAATAACTTGTCCTTTAAATGAACATGACTGTAGCTATTTTAGTCCTAACTAAAGGGAACTTTTCGCGGATTTTTTGTCATCTAGTTATAAACAAGGTTCCATGACTGTAGCTATTTTAGTCCTAACTAAAGGGAACTTTTATGTCATCTAGTTATAAACAACGTCCATGACTGTAGCTATTTTAGTCCTAACTAAAGGGAACTTTTCGTGTCATCTAGTTATAAACAAGGTCCATGACTGTAGCTATTTTAGTCCTAACTAAAGGGAACTTTTATGTCATCTAGTTATAAACAAGGTCCATGACTGTAGCTATTTTAGTCCTAACTAAAGGGAACGTTTCGTGTCATCTAGTTATAAACAAGGTCCATGAAGGATTGGCCAAGGATCGTAAACAAAATAAGTTGAGAACCATGTGGATCTTACCTGTAAAATCCTTTAGAATAAATGATTCCGTTAAAGGGTTCACTGAATTCTATTCTCACGCCCATGGTCTCCTTCTCACATTTGACTTCAATGTTAAGGATCTGAGCCATCTGTCCCTCAGGTGCTAAAGGTAGAAGCTGAGAGTCGGGAAGATTATTCTGGCTAGCTGCATTAAGGTTGAAGTTAGGGTTGATCTGCTGGGATCCTGGTCTCGCGGGGGAAAAGTTTTGTGATGTTACTTCAATCACGGAACTTCGGTGAGGAATTTGACCATTAAACTGGGATCCATCAGCGAAACTCCGCAAAAAAACCTGGCTTTGCCCGGCAGGGGGACCGTACCCCCTTGCATTCTGAGCACTAGCCATCTAAAAAAGCACACAAAAAAGTCGTTTACAGTACTCACCAAACTAATATATATATACCGAGAAGATCAGGGTTTAATTAACACTGAAATTAATTTTAATAGTGTCGCGGTTGAAATGCAAATTGACATCTGACTGATGTGTCAACACACTACTCTTCTACATCCCCTCAAAAATGCTTACAATTGTTTTCTTCCACCCCCAGTCGCCGCGTCAAACGGGGATCGTGTTGTGTAGAACTGGTAGATGTCATATCGGGAAGGCAACCATATTGTATGACGTTTCCAAACCCGTGTAGATCATTTGGCCAGGTGGTTAGTGTGCTGGGCTGCGTACCATAAGGTTCAGAATTGGAACTCTACATTTACATTTGTGAATTTGTTGGATATAACCCGTGTGGTTGTGGTGACGGATGATAAGAAGGTTACACCAGAACCCTAGAGGCCTCTGATCTGGGTGTTTAACCTATGTATTTGTATAAGGTGCCATTTAGGTCAAAAATACAAATACTGTATTAATTGCAGGCTGGCAACAACGATTATACCAAAATAAGATTTTAGGTTTCTCTGGGCTCTGTCTTTCACGTGGAATCTAACCCCAGATTTTAGCATTTTAAGTCAGGGGACACAAGGAGGAGGACAGCTACTCTTATCTGACCGAATAGTGAGATTTGACCGTCACTCTTATAACACGTTTATTTATTTATTTTTGCGGCAAATCATCATGGGCCCTCAGATCCACGGTCCGACATACTAGTTACTAGGCCACGCCCGTCACCTAGTTATTGATGGAGCAAATTTTTATAGTATCGTACATAACTGGCAAGTGAAAATAATTATAACAGGAAATTTCGAAGTTTATTTTAATACAATCTGTAACTCTTATACTAACTTAATAAAAGTTTAAAAACAGTAAATACATCCACAAGACAGTTGTATAAATCATAAAAAAACTTTAATTCTGTATGTATAATTAATTATATTAACAAATTCGTCTTAAGACTGAAATACTTACCCCGGAAAACAGTAGGATCAGCACCACAATTTTCATACTTGGTGTTCAATAAGTCCGGATCTTTCGATTGCAAGAGAAAATATATTTATTACTTGTTATTATAAAGAAATATCCAAGTAAAGAAGACAGATTCATCTTTAAAACCAAGTTTTGCTTATTCAGTAGCAGAGAAGTCACGTTTATTAACTTACTACCTTATGGTTGTCATCACGTTCGTGAATACAGGGCCTTCATGACGATAAGTGACGTAGCTGACAGGTGTGTGATTAAAGTTAGGTATCACGTGTTTGTTAATATAGGGCCTTCATGACGATAAGTGACGTAGCTGACAGGTGTGTAATTAAAGTTAGGCATCACGTTTGTTAATATAGGGCCTTCATGACGATAAGTGACGTAGCTGACAGGTGTGTAATTAAAGCTTGGTATCACGTGTTTGTTAATATAGGGCCTTCATGACGATAAGTGACGTAGCTGACAGCTGTGTAATTAAAGCTAGGTATCACATGTTTGTTAATATAGGGCCTTCATGACGATAAGTGACGTAGCTGACAGCTGTGTAATTAAAGCTAGGTATCACGTGTTTGTGGATATAGGGCCTTCATGACGATAAGTGACGTAGCTGACAGCTGTGTAATTAAAGTTAGGTATCACGTGTTTGTGGATATAGGGCCTTCATGACGATAAGTGACGTAGCTGTGTAATTAAAGCTAGGTATCAGGTGTTTGTTAATATAGGGCCTTCATGACGATAAGTGACGTAGCTGTGTAATTAAAGCTAGGTATCAGGTGTTTGTTAATATAGAGCCTCTGTTCAGTCATGTTTTTTTTATGTAAACTAGTTCAGATAAATGAACAGGGTAAAGCTACACTACAACAACGTACTTGTAAACCTACGTCTCGTTATATATATAACATATTTACTTGTATTTAAAACATTCCATTCCCAGGCGTTTAGTCAACATTATTCAAGATTCGTTTCAGACTAATGGTAAACAAAATAATGAATAAGACGGGGGGAAGGGGACAGAAAATTATAATAAAAGACAGGAACTAAATATTTGTCAGGATATAATATTGTATGCAATTTTCCTATTGGCCAACTATGTAATGTTTCACATACTTCGTCAGAATTATTATTTGTTCATAAAAGCATGGGCTGTCCATGAACAGGGTTAACGTGAATTATGGGTTATCAGCCTGTTCAAGAATGCATAACACGTGAAGATAACGCATTCCGGAGTTTTATTACGTCAGATTTTTGAAAATCATTTAGCCTTGTTTCATTACTTGATCCAGCCACGTGCCACTTCTTGTGGTGAACGAGACTTCGGTGCGTTCTGAGAAGGACAAACACGTGGACGGATTTCTCTGAAGACAGATTTGATCAAAATTTTCATTCACTTCGTTGACAGCTTTTGTTTACTTTCCTGTATTGCTCTATTCTTTATTACCTTGTTTTGGTGTATTACATAACTAACATGTAGGCCTCTAAGTTGACCAGTGGCTAGCGTGCTCGCGTTGTGAATATAAAAATTCTTTAATTTCCATCCTGTTGTCGCTGAAATGCTCTCTTCACTTTGGGGCCATTATCGCTTGAGGTAGGAGTATCCTAAAAGTGGGCGGTGGGTGTTCGAGACTACCTTCCTTCCCTCATCTTTATCAATTACAAATTAAGGACGGCTATGTGTAACTTTGCACAAAAGTTATGAAACAAGTAACCTACTCAGGTAATTCTTCCCTGTGAATTTTAAAGGCTTATTTCTTCAGACTGTAGATACACTTGTAACAATAATAAATGCGAAGGCTTTATTTCTTCAGCCTGTAGATACACTTGTAACAATAATAAATACGAAGGCTTTATTTCTTCAGACTGTAGATACACTTGTAACAATAATAAATACGAAGGCTTTATTTCTTCAGACTGTAGATACACTTGTAACAATAATAAATGCGAAGGCTTTATTTCTTCAGCCTGTAGATACACTTGGAACAATAATAAATGCGAAGGCTTTATTTCTTCAGCCTGTAGATACACTTGGAACAATAATAAATGCGAAGGCTTTATTTCTTCAGCCTGTAGATACACTTGTAACAATAATAAATGCGAAGGCTTTATTTCTTCAGACTGTAGATACACTTGTAACAATAATAAATACGAAGGCTTTATTTCTTCAGACTGTAGATACACTTGTAACAATAATAAATGCGAAGGCTTTATTTCTTCAGACTGTAGATACACTTGTAACAATAATAAATACGAAGGCTTTATTTCTTCAGACTGTAGATACACTTGGAACAATAATAAATACGAAGGCTTTATTTCTTCAGACTGTAGATACACTTGGAACAATAATAAATGCGAGACACTTTCATTGTGTTTGATGATCATACGGTATATTTACTGAGGGTTTGGAGGGGGGGGGCAAGTATCAGTAGTTTCTGATACAGCGTGAATACATCTCGAGATCAGAATGTGGAAGTATATTACTATTGATTGGCTGTACTACATATATATATATATATATATTTGTATACAGGATTGTTGAAATGATGTAGCTCTATATATTTCGGATTGGATTCTGTCGACTTTTTAAACACAATTTGATGATAATGTTGTTTACAAAGTCCTTAATAATGTGTAATAAATCTATCTAATTACTAGTCGAATTACACGTGTTTTTTACATAGAAAATGAACGATTTCGTCATATTTCGTCTTTTTCCACGTGTTGTAATACTAACGCTACGACGTGTTTGTTTACTATGCAAGTGATAATCTTGAAGTACAGGGTTGTTGTGAAACTTATTCATATTTACGTCAGGCTTAGAATAAAAAACAGCATGAACTGACTCATGTACTGTCGGAACTGTAGTAGATACATTTTACTGTTGTTTGTACAATAATTATAATATTTTACTATTGTTTGTACAATAAGTATAATATTTTATTACTGTCTGTACAATAAGTATAATGTTTTATTATTGTTTGTACAATAAGTATAATATTTTATTACTGTCTGTACAATAAGTATAATATTTTATTATTGTCTGTACAATAAGTATAATATTTATTATTGTTTGTACAATAAGTATAATATTTTATTATTGTCTGTACAATAAGTATAATATTTTATTATTGTTTGTACAATAAGTATAATATTTTACTATTGTTTGTACAATAACATATACTTATTGTACAAACAATAGTAACATATTATACTTATTGTACAAACAATAGTAACATATACTTATTGTACAAACAACGAATATTGACCCATGGACAGTGTATGTTTACCACCAAAACAACGAATATTGACCCATGGACAGTGTATGTTTATGACATCACAGGTAGTTTTACGATTCACTTACCGGTGGTCATATAATCCTTGTCCAGTAGCGACGTGAACGTCACCGATCTACAATATTAGGTTCCTTCTGATATCAAAAGATACAGTTCGTTGAAAGTAGTCCCAAATCACCGGTATTCGAGTAAGCAAGACGACATCGTCCGCTGTTCTTATAAACACCACCAGGTTAACTGACCTAAATCTCGCTCATCTCAAAGTGACGGATTTTTTTTTTCCGTTTCTGGTAACAGATAGGGGTTATGATGCTCGTGACCCAATTCATCGCCGGCCGATACCGAAGCGGTTTTTTCTACTTGGTCAAAGTTTAATGAGTTTTCAGAATTTGTTGCCACGATCTTAGACTTAACTTGCGAAGCCAGAAATAACAAGTTAAGTTAAAACTTCTCGCGGGTTTAGAGTCACGACTGTGAACGTTCTGACCAAATTAGAAAGATATTAGCTGTAACGTTCGGCTCGTGAATGTTAACTTTGAACCCCGATAATTTCATGACTGTAGCTGTTTTATGAATAAATTCAACAAAAATAAGTTACTATATTTCTGGAGGCTAATTAGGAGGGTGGGTCAACCGAAAAGGTTTTTTGCAAGAATAGTAATAGAACTGAATAAATGCTTTGTGGTAGTTGTTTTGATCTATAGTTATGTCAGATAATGACGTCATGCTTCACAGATTACAAACAGTACTATAAATTCCGACTTGTGAAAGTAAAACAACAAAAATAAGCTGAAATTCGGGGGCGTAGTCTAGAACTGTTCATTGTAAAAAAACACAGACTAGAAGTGAAGTAGAAAAACCGTCTGTATTTTCGTGTCTGTAAAGTGTAGTGGTCTTAACTAATGTTACCAGTACGGCTATGCTTTGTTCATGATATTATGTAGTCATGAAGTTTTTACCCCCTGTTGCTTCGAAGTAGGCTGAGTATCGTGAAGACTATATGCAATGTTCAGAACATCAAAAGTTGTTAGTTTTTCAACCAAAAACAGTAGCGTGTCTAAACAGATCAAATAGGGTTTCGTACGTGAACTAGGTGGATGTTAATTGGTATAAATAAAGTGTAATATTACACCACAGTAAGATTGTTAAATAACATCCTTACACCGGGTCGGTAAAGTTATTAAAACAGTCTGTTGATTGGTATAAATAAGTGTAATATTATACCCCAGTAAGATTGTTAAATAACGTTCTTACACCGGGTCGGTAAATTTATTAAAACATTATGTTAATTGGTATAAATAAGTGTAATATTACACCACAGTAAGATTGTTAAATAACATCCTTACACCGGGTCGGTAAAGTTATTAAAACAGTCTGTTGATTGGTATAAATAAGTGTAATATTACATGACAGTAAGATTGTTAAATAACATCCTTACACCGGGCCGGTAAAGTTATTAAAACAGTCTGTTAATTGGTATAAATAAGTGTAATATTACACCACAGTAAGATTGTTAAATAACATCCTTACACCGGGCCGGTAAAGTTATTAACACAGTCTGTTAATTGGTATAAATAAGTGTAATATTACATGACAGTAAGATTGTTAAATAACATCTTTACACCGGGTCGGTAAAGTTATTAAAATAGTCTGTTAATTGGTA